GCCACGCCTTCTTGTATGATATACTATAGTTCATGGTCTTTTTGATATCTTCGATGACATTCTTAATTGGCATATTAGGTTCATTCTGTATACGACAATACCTATGAGTCAGATTATTTTGGTGTGAACACTATAAACAAACAAATATGTATATATATGTAAACATTTATTTTGTATACTCACCGTAACTTGTCCCAAAAGATGAGAAGCAATGTAACTGGAGCTAATATTAGTGTCGTCCTTGTTCATTCGTGGGTATAAAACAATGGTGAGGACCCCTATACTGCTTTATTTCAGAAAGACCATGTATCCTACTAAGAGATGCACGCAACCACCATCTACAATCATGCTTGCAAGCACACACCCAAACGTCTCACTTGGAGGTTACGACTTTATACTCTCAATTATTTGTTGCATGGTACAATTTCACAGCATGTACGAGTTGCTTCTTATCAACCAAAACCATCCATTTGTCCAACTCTGGATTTTCAGCGTTCCAGATTCGGTTACAGGGAACGACATCGCGGTTACTAATGTCAAAATCACCACCCATGTGAATGTTTTCATAGAAAGGGATTTCAGGTCTAGGTGGAATGGGGGCATTCCGAATATTAACGGGAGCGTCGACATCATCTTCGTCATCATCATCATTTGATCCGCCCAATAAATTTTCTTCATCACACATTCCATTCTCATAAAATTCTAGGGCGACATCAGGACTGTGCATGTCACTGTCAGCAAACTGCACATAATTCACCGTTTCAGCCATATTACCAGCAACTTCAACTGAAGTGGTATGATGGCTGTAGGTGGGCACATCTTCTGCGTTATTGTGAAATTCAGTCTCATATTCACCACGTGAACTTGATTCTACACCATGGCCCTGAAATGTCTGTTGTGTGTAGCCCACTGCATAACATTCATTTGATTCATACATAGGAGACTGAAACGCTGTCGTGTCAATCCCATGTGTCAGCAATGTAGTGAACGGAACGAGAATCCATTTGTGTCATATTCGGGACATTGTGTACAACCTCTTTATCAATGTACACTTCCAAACAATTTAGTGGTTGGAAACTTTCACCGATACTTAATATGGTGTTCAACACCTCATCGTCATTGATCGATAATATTTTATATTTACTGGTTGCTTGCCACTGGCGATAAGGATATCTACATTTGAAAATCAATCGGACAGTTTCCCCGTAACTTGCCACGTTGGACATTAATATCTCCTCCAAATTGCTAAGTGTGGTGCCAAGTTGCACCCCATATATCCCTTTCGGCTCAGCATCATATGACACATCTTCATCGGGATCCCGAATTATGTTTCCCCCCAGTAGAAGATAATTGGAACAGTTGCCATATACTTGCTTCAATGAAAAAATAAACATTAAAATATCAACAATATACATATATTGAATTTTACTTCTAAAATAATTATATGAATTTTAAATCATTCAATTACAATTACTTGTGAGGCAATAACTTTATTTAAGTAATCAGCA